TTATTATTATTATTATTATTATTATTATTATTAGTATTTTCAGCATTACCTTGTGAAATCATACCATTCACCCATATTTGTTGGGGGGTCCAATTTCCTTCTGTACGTAGAGGATGATGGTTCCATGCTTCAACGAAGAGGTTCAATTGATGGTTAATTCTTGGGCAAAAAATGTAATGCAAACAGAACAGATCAATAATGTTTGTTGGCTCAAGTATACCATTTTGTTCCATGTGATAGAAATGAGTGTATATTGTTCGTGGTGTTATATTGGGGAAACCAGTAGAGCTTTTAATACCCGAAAAAAAAGAACATTCGAGAAATATCAAAACTGTAGCCAAAGCTTCTTGAATTGCTAATCACGCCTGGTCCAACAACTACGCCATTGATTTTCAAAACGCGTCAATTATTGACAAAGGCACTCGTAGCACCAGAAAAACATTAGAAGCGTGGCATACCAGAATGACACCTTACGCAGATAACAATTCTTGCCCGTTACCTGGACAATACACCATTCTTTTTAACAAATATTCAAATCATTTACATTCTCATTATTTCGCAGTTGATGTCTTTACTTAAATTCTCTCATCGCTTCCTTATCATTGATTTAATCCGTTGAAGACTGCAGTTCGGGCAGTCGAAAGCTCGTAGTTTTTAATTATTTTGGCCAGAGGTCGTTTTTAAATTTCAACTATGTTTCATCCTGGCTGTGGCCCTTCAATATGTTTATGCAAAAAAAAAAAATGACCAACGCCAACAAAGACATCTCTCCAGAGTCACTCAATACGTTGATTATGTACAGAGAGCCCGGCAATTATGCTTCGCCTATTCAACCCCTGTGTCTCAAAATACTGACGCTGCAACATCTATCATTTCACCTCCTCAGTGTCTGATCGTACCCTGAAAGGCCGCCCATTTCTTTCTACTGCTGCTACGAAAAGTGCATGCACTGTTGCAGCAAGATTGTTTGTTGAACAACATAAATAAACTATGAGCCTTGAAAAACCGTCAATCCCCACATGGATCACAAACCTCCAACTGATGAGGCAATGCAGTGCAATGTGCCAAAGAGAATTGGGTCCTCTGACACTATAAACACGCCTTCCGATGGTGTTAAACCATCTCAAAGACCGACCAACAGGATCAATTCGAACCAAACTTGATCTAACACGCTGACCTTGGACAAAAACATTTCTGCTACGCAGGTGTCCCAGCATCATGCTAATTCCCGAATTTGGAAAGCCTCTCTTTATCTCTCTAATTAATTCATCTAACTCCGCATCTGAGATGGTGGTATAACGATTAGAGAATGACCCAAGATTCTGANNNNGGGGGTCCAAATCCACTCTGACACCGGCTCCTCCACTTCCAAGAGAAACTGTTGGGAACCCTCGGATATGGTAAATAGACGTGCTCGATGTAGCTACAATTGCTAGCAACTCTCACCTGCCTAATAAGGTCCGTGGCTGTAATACCAGGCTTTCAAGAACCCGAATTCTCTCAGTATTTCCTGCCTCACCTTGATCCAAGGAATCGAGCAATCCAAGATCTGAATCGGTCGTAACTTGGAGTCGTTCAATTAAGTTTTCTGCCCTGTTTCGGTCAGCATTTGGAAAGTAACGCTCACAGTCTCTCAACAGACAGTCCACGGATTCCGACAAATCCGTTGTCGGGGAACTAACAACCACCACTACCGCGAAGGCAATGAGTAAGAGCCAAACCTCCATCGAAATTAAGACGACCATGGCGGCCATGCTCGAATCAAATTGGAGTTACTTTCCGGCTCTATCGTACGTGAAGTAGGTTTATTGCTAACGATAGAATTCGATGCCTTTTATATAATGGCCTGCTATAACCCCGTATAAGGGGTGGCGAATGGTAAATGCGAGACTTTGCGAGACGGCGAGATTAGCGTTTTTCTTTGCGAGCTCGAGACATTTTGACTTTTTAGATTGCGAGACCGAGACTTCAAAAGGTTTTGAGTGCGAGCGCGAGACGGTCGCACTCTTTAATTGCGAGCCCTAGATTTGGTTGAGAGCTATGAGAAAGAGCTAGAATGAGCTTGCACAAAAGTCTCACAAAGGATCCTTTTGTTGTAAACCCTTGTACGAAACATCAGATCTGAAAATCTGTCAACTGTAAATAAATTCTATTTTTTTTCCTGGCCATGACCTAATTTCCGGTCAGGAGGTTGCGCTTGGTCGTTTCCCTTTGATTTTTTTGACTGACGCGCTGTAACTTACAACTCAAGTTGTCTGGAAGTCGTTAGAAGAAAGAACGCGTGGTCGTGTTTGAACTCAGTTGAGGTGGAAGCGTTCAAAACAATGGAGGAAACCGAAGTAGGCTTAAGGTCTTCTTCTCATCGGAAGCGAAAGCACGAATCACGTAAGAACTCTATAAATGTTGCTATTTATGAATTTGCGGACAATTCGCTGTTAGTCTACCAGTAAAACTTCAATCCCAGCCTCGCGAAAACAACCACGCCACGCTTGGCCAGTCAAGTCCCGTGGTCCTATTACTGCAAGCTACTATAGCTAGCTTAGAAAGATCTAGGCCGCAAGTCGCACTTTTGCTGAATTCAGAGAATTTAGGAGAAGTTAGGATTGACTTTTTCTCGGAAATTGAAAATTGCTGTAATGAAATTCAATAACAAGTGACGAGAAGACGTCCATTAAAAAAAAAAAAAAAACCAACAAGCGAATCGGGACTTCGAGACCCTTAGCCTTGCAAAAAATCGAGACTCCGTGACACCTTCGTATAAAAAACGAGAGTGCGAGATGCACATAACCGCTGAAAAAACGAGACTGCGAGACCTACGAAATTCGACTAACATTTTGCGAGAACCAGAGGTTTTGAAGGACCATTCGCCACCCCTCATATACAGACGTTTGTTCGTAAGGCATATATATGGCCTTTTTTGTGCGCATATATATGTTTGTAAGAAAAAGGTCATATACTTAATATATACATTATCAGAGACCATGGTGGATTTACAACATTAATTTTCATGAAACGTAAGGTTTGGCAGGCTACTATAATTGTTAAAAGCTAAATTTTGAAATATAAAATTAATATACAGTTGAAGTTGTGTTTGTTTGACTTATTCTATTCAGATATTGCAGAACACAAATCACACTAATATTATTGATACCAGTGAGAGAAATACATCTTTGAATCCAGATTAAATGTTAACTAAATAAACGCAGAATTGATTATTTTGTTCAAAAGTGATTAATTTTTAGGAAATAGTTTGTTAATTGACAACAAAGAGGTTTCTGTCATTAACAGGTCTAATTCAGTTAAGAGTGTTTCCATAGATCCACTGATCTAATCAAGTGTAGAAGCTATTACACAACTGCAACAGTTCACTTTTAACAAAATAATCAATGCTTGTCGATATAACCTTAGCTATTAAACCTGTAGCCTGACCTAGCCCCCTGTATAGTCTGCAAAAACCATACTCTTAATTTGCGATCATTACAAAAAACACTAGCAAGACATTTTTTGGCGGTACAGTTAGACATAATAAAAATGTGGTGGTTCACTTTCTTTAACTGAACTGAACATTTTATGACCTGTTAATGACATAAACAATTTGACAAGTTGAGGTTGTAAATAATAAATGTTAGTAATATCGAGTCTGCCATTTTTATTGTTCTCACTTCCAGGTGCCATCACAATCCTTAAAAAAAAAATCAATATAAATATTTGCAAATCATAACATTGTTCCACAAATTATTGTAATTGTAATTCTGTTGTTAGCATGTTTGATTTCAGGGATAAAAACAGACTTTTACTAGCCTATGTACCTAATCCATTTTTGCTATTCTCGTGTTTCCTAGACAGACTTTTGATAGGAAACTTTTTACTGTTGCACACGTCACATTAAGAGTTTAAATTTGTTTTAAGTGCTTCAGCAGTTATCTGTATTACACTTTTACACTCTGTGTACTTATAATCTCACCACATTTCTCTTATGTTGCAAGCTCCTTTTTTGCTTTTTTTCTCTTGGCTGTTGTCATCCATTCCCTCCTTCTTTTCTTTGTACCTCCTTGTTTTCCTTCAATTTCCATCTCTCTTTCTCTCATTTCCTCTTCATGTTCTTTTTCTACTGCTCCAGCTGGTATTCCTCCATTCCCTCCTTTATCTCCATTGTCCATGGTTTCTTCTTTGTTACTTACTCCTTTATCCACTTCCTTTTCTTTTTCCTGCTTTTCTTCTTCTTCTCCTCCCTTAGCCCCTTCTCTTCTCTCCACATCTCCCACAGCTTGGCTTACATCTATGATCATACACAAAATATTGAGTTACTTGGTTCTCTGTGTTTGTTGTTCACAATATTTATGTTTAGCTGAAACCCTGATTTCAG